CCCTCCGTGCATGCAACAGCTGGGCCTTTGTAGACTGTCCCACTCTTGGTCGAGGAGGATCCAATCAAGGCTCCAGTCAGCGCTCGGCAACGAGATAGTAAGAGAATGAGTATTTTTATTATTTTTCAGGCATCGACATTTGTCGCCCTACAGCCTCGTTCTGGTGTCTTGTGACCTTGGGCGGATAAGCTCCCCAGACGTAGTGCCCAGAGTTGTCACACGGACGGGTCGGTCCGAAGATCGCCCGGGCGGTTTCGACTGGGAGCGATGAGTAGGTTAGTTCTTGACGCTTACTGATTTCGCAATGACATTATTCGTACAAGGGCAAAAGGGCAACATGTTTTCCGTTTAACCGAGCACCATCACACCCAGAAAACGGGTCCGTTGTTCTGATGTTGTACTGGAATTTTTCTGATGATTCAAATGATTTTCCAATCCTTCAGGGTAAAGAATCATTCTTTAACACAAAGAAAGCTCCTTCAAAGTAACGAAAAAAATATGTCATGTTCTAGGAACGGAAATTTCCGTTGGAATAAGAGAATTACTATTAGCTCAATGGAACAATTTTCTCGGTGCATTCAAGAACATGTTTTTTGGGGGGTGTAGCAGCGCGAAGTGCCCGCGGTCGCACCTGACGGGCTTTCGGATGCGATCTTCAGAGCCGCCCGTTGCAGCCCATTGGGCGCCGAGCGGCTTTGACACTGCTCCCAGCTGTCCGTTGGCACGGGCCAGGCCTCGCCGGCCCCGGGGGTCACCAGGTGCTGTCCGGGACCCTCGGGACCCTGCGGGCCACGTGAGCCGTGCAATCCCCGCAAGACGTGCACAACACAATGACGCAAGGAAAAGCGCGCGGGAGTTCCTTCTTGTAGGGGGAGACGGAGGCGGGCCGGCGGGCCGGGCCCGGGGGAGACAGAGGAGGTCAAGGCGGAGGGTGGCGCGGGATCAGGCCGCCCCCGGACACGGCAAGACGCGGGAGGACGAGCCCCTGGCAACAGCGGCTGCGGCTGCACTTTTGGCGGGAGGTGACGGCGTCGGCGTCCAGCATCGCGAGGAGGACCACGGCGCCGAAAAGGAGCGAGCGGCCAACCGGGCACCGCGGCAGCGCGCCAGACGGGCGGACAGACAGCCGGACGCCCCCGCCGACGTACAATGACACAATACCGCATTGTGGAGGGCGCCCGGTAGCGCGCGGGTAGCGGGAGGCGCACCCGGGGGCGGCGAGAGGCACCTGGGGCACAACTCCGCCCCACCGCCGCGGCCACAACGCGTAACTCTGGGCGGTTATTGGCGGACCGATGAGGGGCCGCGGCGAGGATCTTACAGGTTGTTCTCACGGCTCAGGACAAGTCGTCGTCGGAGGAGGAGATGAAACCGTTGAGCGGAGGGCAAAACCCCAGCCAGGGCCGCCGCCGCGGAGCCGGTTGCCTGCCTGCCTCCCACACCTCGGAATGTGTCAACCCGCCGGCTCAAGGAGGAGGAGGAGGAGGAGGAGGAGGAGGAGGAGGAGGAGCGCGTTGATATATTTATTATCATGGCCCAAGCCGAGCCACACTCGCTGGACACGGATCGGGACGGCTGTGGGAAAGATGAAAAAGCGTCGCGGCAAGCGCGGCCCAGCTGACGGGCGGCCCGGCCCGGCCCCGGCGACACTGTCGACAGAAGTCAACTCGCGCTAGCGGAGCCGTTTTTTGACGCTCTCCGCGGCGTCGGCGCTGTCATTTTAATCCGCGGAGAAGCAGCCGCCGCGGGCCGGGCCGGTCAGCGGCGCGGCCAGCAACAGCCCCGGCTGGCACTCCGCTAGTGAGCTCTTCCTCTGTCACCGCGACTCTGCCCCGCTCCGCCCCGCTGCTGCTTGACTTGCAATGCCGCCGCGACCATAGCGGGAAGCAGGCGCGGAGCAGGGACACGTCACTTAAAAAGCGATGCACTTTACGTCAAATCAAAGTCCACTCCGCGGCTGCCGCAAATCGTATGGCTGCCCTTATACTGTACTAACGCGAGGGAGGGAGACGGTGAGAGACTCTGCTCTGGAGAGGGAGAGAGAAGTGGTCCGAGGCCCCCAGACAGCCCACCGGTCACCCCAAGGACGTCCCCCGCCACAGCGGCGGGCTGGCGGGCCGTAGGTCACACTCAGCAGGTGACCGCTACACCGCGCCCGGACAGCACCCACCACACAAAGGTCACATTTATACTGGTATAGTGCTGTATCACGAGCCGCGGCCATAATCTCACCGGTTCTTCTTTCCTTTTTTTCGTTGGTTGTTTATTTTCTTATTTTTTTGAGGGGACGGGCCGCGGCCCGCGGCTGACAAATTTTACACCCGACACCTATTCGCGTGTCGCTATACGTCTCTCTCCCTCTCCCCCCCCCC